TGTGCAAAGTTTGTCCTGTGTAAACTCAAGGGGGGGGGGTGTATCTAAATCAAATCAAGTTTATTAACAGTCAAAAGTCCAGACACCAGAACAAATAAAAACACTCAAGGTATATATCCAGTTCAAAATTCTAGAATAATTGATTTGATTTGATTTAGATAATTGTCATTTTTTATAACAACTGTTAAATACTTCAACTGAGGTGTGTGTGTGTTAGTCACTTTGAAGGACGAGCATGTGATCTATTCTTATCTGTAGGCATCAAGCCTAACCGATCTATCTCCTAATATGGGGTATTAGAATGTGCCTGTTAATATGTCAGTTTCTTCTGTAAAGCAGAGCAGGATTTACACAGAAGTTTGGTGATAGCAAAATCCATCAACAGGATCAAGGGTCCCCAATCCCTGATGTGGCCCACTAACAGGCCATGGCCCATTTGGAACTGGTCCATGCAAATGGCAGATGAGCGTGCACGCACATACAGCCTACTGCTCACACGGAACCATCCCATCTCCCCTCCACCAGTCCGCCAAGCCAGTCGGCCTAGATAGCAAATCTGACCAGTAATATGTACAGGTAGTCCTCGACATATGACCACAACTGAGCCCAAACTTTCTGTTGCTAAGTGAGACAGGTTAAGTGAATTTTGCCCCATTTTATTGCCTTTGTTGCCACAGTTGTTAAGTGAATCACTGCAGTTAGCAAAAGTTGCTACAGTTGTTAAATGAATCACTACAGTTGTTAAGATAGTAACATGGTTGTTAAGTGAATCTGGCTTCCCCCCCCCATTGGTTTTGCTTGTCAGAAGGTCACAAAAGGGGTTCGCGTGGCCCCAGGACACTGCAGCCGTCATAAATATGAACTAGTTGCCAAGCATCCAAATTGTGATCCTATGTCCATAAGTGTGGAAAGCAGTCATAAGTCACTTTTTTTCAGAGCTGTTGTTACATTGAATAGTCAGTAAACAAAAGGTTGTACTTTGAGGACTACCTGTAGTCCAGGGTAGAACCAGGTGGGTTCTACTTACCTTTACTACTGGTTTGTAGCGGGGCCGCGCACGCTTGCTTTGCTCACGCAGAAGCTTCTGAGCATGCGCAGAAGCGTTTTGAGGACTTCGGGGTCGGTGGGCGGAGCCTCCCGCCCGTTTTACTACCAGTTCTATAGAATCAGTGCGAACCGGGGGCAACCCACCACTGGTCCAGGGCAGTGGTGAAATCCAATTTTTTTTACTACTGGTTCTGTGGGTGTGGCTTGGTGGGCGTGGTGTGGTGTGGCTTGGTGGGCGTGGCTTGGTGGTTGTGGCAGGGGAAGGATACTGCAAAATCTCCATTCCCACCCCACTTCTGGGGAAGGATATTGCAAAATCTCCATTCCCACCCCACTCTGGGGCCAGCCAGAGGTGGTATTTGCCAGTTCTCCAAACTACTCAAAATTTCCGCTAACGGTTCTCCAGAACCCGTCAGAACCTCCTGGATTTCACCCCTGGTCCAGGGGTGTCAAACTCACATCATCATGGCATCATCATGTGATCTATCGAGACTTTTCCTCCCTTCACTAAACATGGGCATGGACGTGGCCAGCGCATGACACATCCGGCCCGCGGGCCATGAGTTTGACAGCCCTGCTGTAGTCCTTTAAAATATTTAAAAGTAAAATGATTTGGGGGATAGATGGTATGATAAGGATTTTTTGCAGGATCCCCCCCCCCAAAAAAGTGATTTCCGAAAGATCCGAAAAAGAGGATTTTTTGCAGGATCCAAAAAAGATTCATGAGGAATTTTTTTGTTGTTGGTTAACTAGAATAATTGCTGCTTCTTCCTTTCCCTTTGTCCCTTAGCAAGGAGGAAAGCCTAAGCATGCCACCTGTAAACAGTAAAACAGATTAACAGAGTTGGAAGGGACCTTGCAGGTCATCTAGCCCAGCCCCCTGCCCAAGCAGGAGACCCTACATCTGCCTCTACCTAGGATCGAACTCACAACTTCCTGATTGTGAGGCAGGAGCTCCACCTCTGGATTTCCTCCTAGCACTTGTTTTTTCTCATATCATCTACCACAATTGAACTTTTTAGCTATTTTTCAGAGCTGGGCTCAGTGTATATTCCCATGTAAAGATGTCTTTTATATTTTCACAAATGAAATTTCTTAAGGAAACAGTTGCCTTGACAAAAAAAAAAAAAAATCACTAACCAGACAAAACAAACTTGCTTCTGTCAATTGCTTCAATTAGGAATCCAGCCAAAGTAAAGAGGGTTTCCTTTTTTTAATTGCCAAATGAATACTTCATTTCAGTGGGGTAAATGTATCATGGAAAACTTTATGAAACATTTTGTGTGTTTGTTAATGAAAAATGTAACAATACGGCAAAGAGTATTGCGATCCTTTTCAGCGTATAGACATTATGTTAGTTTTGGAGGACTATGTTAGCATTGGATTGACAGAAACTAATAAAATGTACTCCTGTTTCATTTCTGAGCCTTAAAGTCCAATTAAGTTTTTCTCCTTGCTCTTTCCAGCTTCGACATTCTAGCCCCCAACTATAAACAGCACATCTTTTATTTATTTTTTATTTATTTATTTTGTCAAGCATGTATTATTTATTTATTTATTGGTTCGATTTATATGCCGCCCTTTTCCAGAGACTCAGGGCGGCTTACAATGAGTTAAGCAATAGCCTTCATACTTTTGTATATACCTGCTAAGTAGGGCTTTCGGGCCCCACCCCTAAGCGGTGTTCTTTTTTTATACAAAGTCAGCTTATTGCCCCCACAAACCGGCTCCTCATTTTACCTACCTCGAAAGGATGGAAGGCTGAGTCAACCTTGAGCCTGGTGAGATTTGAACTTGCAGTAATTGCAGGCAGCTGGTGTTACTTAACAGTGCTTTAGTCTGCTGTGCCACCAAGGCTGAATTAGATAACAGATATATGTATAAACATGATTATGAATACATGAAATGGATACGAATAAAAGGGGACATTAGGACAGGGACGGTAGGCACATTGGTGCGATTATGCACGCCCCTTACAGACCTGTTCTGTTGATTTTATTTTTTTTTATAAAAAGTTTTTTTATTTTTCAATTACAAAGATAAACATTCCATCTTTCCTTATGCTGTGTGTTGTCTAGGTACAAACATCTCTGTGCAACATCGTTCCTCATTTGCCACATCTTTCACATTAACATTCATATTATTTCTCTAAACTTGTTTTTTTTAATTTGATTTATATGCCGCCCTTCTCCGGAGACTCAGGGTGGCTTACAATGCGTTAAGCAATAGCCTTCATACTTTTGTATATTTATACAAAGTCAGCTTATTGCCCCCACAAACTGGGTCCTCAATTTACCTACCTTAGAAAGGATGGAAGGCTGAGTCAACCTTGAGCCTGGCAAGATTCGAACTTACAGTAATTGCAGACAGCTGGTGTTAATCACAATGCTATCAGTCTGCTGAGCCACCAGGCCCTAAACTTAATATTATAATACATTTAAACATTGTAAAACTCTCCATTTTCTTCTTAATATCTTCTAGTGATGATACCATATTAACATTAAACATCATTATTCTCATCATACATATACTAACAATTTTCATCTTATTTATATCTCTACCTTAATATATTTTCTACTTATTCTTTAGCCTTCTTCATTTCCAAACTCCTTTTTTATTCTCCAACCATTGATAAAATACTTCTCATATCATATAATATTCAGTTTGCTCTTTCTCCTTAATTGCTAATGTTAATCTGTTCATTTCTGCACATTCTAATATTTTCCTTATCACCTTCTCATCAATGGGAATCTCTCCACTTTTCCAATGTTGTGCAAATACAATTCTAGCTGCAGTTAATACATGAATAATTAAATATACATTCTCTTTATTATAAATTTCAGGTAAAATTCCTAGCAGAAATATTTGTGGTTTCAACTCAGTACATTGTTGTATCATCTCTTCCAACCATTTTTGCCCAATACTTCTTTGTTTTTCCACATATCCACCACATATGATAGTAAGATCCAGGTATTTGGTGGCACTTCCAACATTTAGAGTATGTTCTGTTGATTTTAGACTGGACCTGGACCATAAAACATGGCATTCTCTTTTTCAGCATCTTGGACAATAAACAGAGATAACTGTCATATTAAAAAGTTACATGTGAAGTCTAATCAGTATCAGTAGTCATTGACCACTATATCTAAATATTGTGTGCTATATCCTTTCTAACTATGAAAAGCAATGCCTTTCCTTCATTTTGTTTTTGTTTTTGTTTTGTGTCTATCCTGAGTAATAAATAATATGGTCTAAGTGAGAGTATTCAATTTCATGTTTCTTACATTCTGGGTTCCCACTATAATTCTGTTGCTTCAGATTTTCTGCATGGCAACATCAGCAATTAGACGGTCCAACAGTTTTTTTTCATCTACAGTTTTTCCTCCTCAAATTCTCCATCTCTAAAATGTGGCTGTTCTTTTAAGGTCAATAGGACTATATTTGCATGAAACATGACATTTAGGACTTTTGAGAGATGTCACAGATTCTACCAATAAAAGCTCTGTATCTGTACTTCACAGTTGGTTGGTTGCTTGTTTTCATTATGATTAAAACAATGTAACAAAACCCCAGAATTAGAACTATTTACATTTTTTATCCCCACCCCATTTTCAAAAAATGAAAGTTGCTTCTTTCATATTTTTTTAAAAAAATCCTTAAAATGTGTTTGGAACCTTAAATCTCTTTTGTGTATTGAGTAAGTTTATGTCAGATTTTATACCAAGCACAGCAATAAACCTAGATTTATTGCTTCAGCCCATATACAGGAATTTGCTTATAGCAGAAATGTCACATATCCAGCATAGCTAGATAAGTTGTTTTATTGCAGACAAGATAGAAAATATTGGGGGGGGGGGAGTGGGAGAGAGGAGAAAAGAAAGAGAGAGAGATCAGTTAAGCTATATATACAATATGCATGTCTGTTCAATTACATTTTAAGCCTTTTCTTTCAGCTTTTCCAGCTTGGCCATATCTGGACCTGAAATTGGGAAGCATCTGGTCAAACCTTACAGAATGATTCTCTCTAACCTTGATGTCACGCACCTGGGAAATCCAGATATTCAGGTAGTTCAAATAAGTATGATGATTTATTGCAAGCTTAAACTCTCTACAAGAATCTGAACTACTAACAATCGAGGGAAATTAGCGGGAGTTAAGAATAGAAGTGAATTCAAAGTGGGTTGGACTTAGATCTCTTGTGGGAAGCAGGAACTCATGACTGATGATGCCTTTGACCCTTCCCTCAGGCCCAGCCTGGTCATCTATGTTTGGTAACTTTAAAATGTGTGGACTTCAACTCCCAAAATTCTCCAGCCAAGCTGAGGAATTCTGGGAGTTGAAGTCCATGCATCTTAAAGTTGACAACGTTTGGAAACTCAGCTCTAACCTGACAACTTCTGATTCCTGGCTCACCAGCTTAAGCATTTATTATTATGCAACTGCTGGTTGCTATTGCTTCATGCCCCTATAAGAGGGTTAAGAGAGATATCTTCATCCAACTTAATTTAACGAGATTCTTACCCTAAACCGAATCAAATCAATGTACAGTATTAACATCATCAGTAGCAGATGTAAGTTGAATTGCAGAAATGGGAGGCTTGCCCACACATCACAGTTCCATCTGCTGTGTTTGTTTTATTGTTACTCTTATAGCTCTCTCTTTTGATTCAGCTCTCTTTATTCCATCTCCAAAACAATTTTTAGACAGTGGGACCACAGGGAATTTAAGCCCTGATTGAAACACTTTCTCATAGAGATGTACTAATTGCACAAGTTTAAAAAAAAATGATTCCGTCACACTGGAAATCCAAAATGGAAAATAAATAAGACGGTAAAAAAAATGATTATTTCTATCCATGGAGATGGTTTTGTTTCCATATCCTTCTTTCTTTGGCAATTGGCCAGGCACTATAGGAACAAGAAGTCAGGGCTGGATAAAAATTTTCACTACCGGTTCTGTGGGCATGGCTCGGTGGGTGTGGCTTGGTCATGTGACTAGGTGGGCGTGGCCTGGTGGTTATGTGACTGGGTGGGCGTGGCTTGGTGGTCATGTGACCGGGAAAACCAACTATTACACTTTACACAAAAGTAACACAAAAGCTACACAACTGAATCACACACAATGCAAAAGCAGCTGGACTTCACACAAAATGGGCCCTGCAATAAGCAGGAACCTCACAGAGTCACAGAGAGCTCAAAAACAAACTATCACACTTTACACAAAAATACCGGTTCGGGCAATAGGTAGTAAAAAAATGCTTTAAAAAGTAAAACAAAAGTTCTCACGATTGCACTGCACTGCTGATTGTCACAGCTGATTGTTGGAACCTTTTTTTACTTTTTTAAAGCAATTTTTTTACTACCTATTGCCTGAACTGGTAGTAAAAAAATGCTTTAAAAAAGCAAAAAAAAAAGTTCTGAGGATCAGCTGTGCCACGCTATCGTCAGAACTTTTTTTTTACTTTTTAAAGCAGTTTTTTACTACCAGTTCGGGCGAACCAGTAGCATTTTCACTACCGGTTTGGGAAAACTGCCCCAAACTGGTAGCATTTCACCCTGGGTTAGTGTTTAAATGACCAATTTACTCCATCAAGCCAAACTCACTCATGACTTTGACTTAAAGCTGAGTTAAATTTGGCATAAAAGGAGCTTTCAACTCAGTCCCAAGTCATGTTTAATTTAACAGTGATTTCTTGAATATGCCAAAACTGGATGGTTTTACTGAAAACTAAGCCATAAACCTTGATTTCCAAACAATGGTAGCTGGTAGTACACATCAAACAAATAGCGTGGCTTCCTAATTCCTGTTGGGATGTATGCTATGATGTTGCCAAAAGAGTTTTAAGCTTGAAAGTTGCTTTCTGACTTTCAGAATAAAAAAGTAGCTTTCTTTTGCTTATTTTTAACCTTAACTGTGATGAATCTTCCTTTCAATACACAAATCTGTTATCAAATCTACATGGGTGGTTGCTCTTATATAGGTGGTTTATTAGGGCTTGTTGTTGTTCTTGCTTTTTGTGGCATAATGCTACAACTATAACTAGGCAGAGCTACATAAATTCTTGTTTCTAGAGATGCCAGATGTTATAATCCATTTCTTCTAATGAAACTGTACTTAAATGATGCTACCTGTGAAAAGCATTAGAAAGTTCCATTGTTCTACAATCTTGGGACCAGGCTATTAACTGGGGCCAATTAAGGTTCTGTTGTTGTTAGTTGCGAAGTCGTGTCTGACCCATCCCCATGGACAACATTCCTCCAGGCCTTCCTGTCCTCTACAATCCTCTGGAGTCCATTTAAGCTCACGCCGACTGCTTCAGTGACTCCATCCAGCCACCTCATTCTCTGCTGTCCCATTCTTCTTTTGCTCTCAATCGTTCCCAGCATTAGGCTCTTCTCCAGGGAGTCCTTCCTTCTCATTAGGTGGCCATATATTTGAGTTTCCTCTTCAGGATCTGGCCTTCTAAAGAGCAGTTAGGGTTGATCTCCTCTAGGACTGACCGGTTGGATCGCCTTGCAGTCCAAGGGACTCACAGGAGTCTTCTCCAGCACCAGAGTTCAAGGTCATCAATTCTTTGGCGCTCATCCTTTCTTATGGTCCAACTTTCACAGCCATCCATTGCAACTGGGAAAACCATAGCCTTGACTATACACACTTAAGGTTCAAACTTAATTAAGGTTCTATTACTGGCCTTATCACAATTTCACTGAACACCTTGCTGTTTCTGGGCCTAATTTAAAGGGCTAGTTGTGACCTAAATAATTTGGGGCCAAGTTTCTTGAAGGATTATTCTCCTTCCCCAAGTCTCCTTTGGGCTTTGACATATGGTGGAAGCCCTTCCTTTGAGCGGTGGCTCAGTGGCTAAAACACTGAGCTTGTCACTCGAAAGGTCGGCAGTTCAGTGGTTCGAATCCCTAGTGCCACATAACGGGGTGAGCTCCCTTTACTTGTCCCAGCTTCTGCCAACCTAGCAGTTCGAAAGTACATTAAAAATGCAAGTAGAAAAATAGGGACCATCATTGGTGGGAAGGTAACAGCGTTCCTTGCGCCTCTGGTGTTTAGTCATACCAGCCACATGACCACGGAGACGTCTTTGGACAGCGCTGGCTCTTCAGCTGTGAAACGGAAATGAACACCGTCCCCTAGAGTCGGGAACAACTAGCACATATGTATGAGGGGAACTTTTACCTTTACCTTTACAGTCTTCTTCAGGTTTATTATTGCACTTCCAATTCATTTTAAAATCATTCTCTGTTTATGTAAAATGAACACAACCCTCTTGATAGAATGGTGATGATGGTGGATCAAGAAAACCTTTAATATCCCAACTTTAGAATTCAGATCCTCCTCAGAAATCTATTTTGTTTCTGTATGCAGACAGCATTTTCCTGATTAAACTATGCCTCTTATTTTTCTGTTCTGATCAAGTAACATTTTTAGATGCTAAAACGTACCACTGCTTGCTGTTCCCCCTATGAATGCTGAAGCTTTTGATTACATGGCTTAAAATGACAACGTACTTCAACCTGCTGTAGCTGTCTGAGATACTGGGAATAAACACTGGGAATGGCCTCCTTCTCCAGACATGCAATAATCATGTAGATAAAAACAGAAAGCCTCAAAGAAGAGAGGCAGTATGTGCCAGGCCAGTTGTTCTCAAATAAATAAATAAATATTATCCTCCTCTGCATTAGCCGGTGGGAGAAATGCATTCAATGTTCTTTACCATCAGTTTAATTGTGCACTGCTTTTGGACTAATTAGGACCATGGCATGATCTGAGGTCAGAAATGGAACAAATGGTTGTTGTTTTTTAATCTGACCCATCCTCTTTCTCTCCCCCTTCCTCTCTTTTTTTAAAATGCCATCTGCCATTACTGTGACAGCACATTTTGCTTTCTTTCCCCCCACTTTACTCTAATAACTAGAATATATGCAAGGTAATAGAGCCATTTCCTTCCCCCAGGAAAAAAAAAACAAAACGCAAACCTAAAACTGCTTCCATTCTGTTTCTTCCCTTTATCCTTTTCCAGAAGCTCGCAATTTAAAAAGAAAATTGCACCGAAGGAACAAAACAATGTTTTATTTTAAAATCATAATGGTACTAACTCAGCTCCCCATTTTATCATGCAAGCAGCTGCAGAAGCGTTCGCTTCCAAATGGTGATGCAAGAGCATCTTTGTCAGCCAAAGCTGTAATGAACAAAAAAAAACCCGAGATCCTAAATCCCAGCAATATTTGAAGAAGCCTGTAAGGTTTCTGGTACAAGAGACGGAGCTGCTGAATTCAAGCTTTGTAGGGTTGAGATGAAAACAAAGAAGTTAAAATTCCGTTTTAACAGAGTCTTGCAACCTTTTTTTTTTTAGTTTTTCCTTCAGATGGCAGGAATGGATGTGTTGAAGCATCAAACCTCAAATACTTGCCTTTCAACTTTTCCATTGCATGTATAAGAATATTTCCTATTCTGCATCTTTGCACCAAAAAATATTTCATTTCATATGGGTAGTTAGACGTAGATCCATTTTGAATTCATGACAGGTGTACCCTTTTCCCCCAAAAATAAGTCGTTGGCCCCCACGGAGAGGGCTCGCAACTTGGGTGTCCTACTGGACACATGGCTGTCTTTAGAAGAGCATTTGACAGCTGTGGCCAGGAGGACTTTTTATCAGGTCTGCCTGATTCGCCAGTTGTGTCCCTTTCTGGATTGGGACTCGTTACATACAGTCACTCATGCCCTCATCACCTCACGCCTGGACTACTGTAATGCTCTCTACATGGGGCTCCCCTTGAGGAGCACCCGGAGGCTCCAGCTGGTCCAGAATGCAGCCGCATGGGTGGTTATGGGAGCGACGTGGTGCTCCCATGTGACCCCCCTCCTGCGCGAGCTGCACTGGCTCCGGTGGTCTTCCAGGTGCGCTTCAAGGTTTTGGTCACCACCTTTAGAGTGCTCCATGGCTTAGGACCAGGGTACCTATGAGACTGCCTTCTGCCACCAGTAGCCTCTCACTGACCGGTACACTCCCATAGAGAGGGGCTCCTCAGGGTGCCAGCAGCCAAACAGTGTC